AATGATTGATTTGTAAAATTATTAAGGAGAAAAAAGAATGAGAAAGTAGAGTCTGACCTCAAAACATTTATTTCCCTTAAGGATCAAATTTGAGTATAAATTAAAACATCTTGGTGGCTCTGATGAAAATGAACTACAATAGCAGATTTATTTAAAATCCAGAAAATATTCCTTTCTGATTTTTTTCTTAATGGATTACATCACAAAAGCACATTCACTATGTTCATTGAGGTTTTTTTATGGTTGCTAAAAATCTCTGATTTCTAGTTGTATGAGTTTCCTAATTGGACTCTTAAATTATTCAGCTTCTCAGATGAACTTTGTACAAGGAGGAAATAATTATAAGTAACAATAACACAATGCTATTCTTTAAACTATACTTTTTTCTTTGTTAGCAATTTATTTCACCCTATGTGACATTCAAACGTTTTCCTTTGCTATTTTTAAAATGTGATTTGATGTTTCTGAGGCATCCTCATATCTAGTGAATTTAGAAGATGAGTTGCTATTAGATTACTGAGCACAATATTAAGCCTAAGAATGCCAAAGTAAACGCTTCTGCTACTGTAAATGTTAGTATTTATACGATTTAGTGTCAAGGATGATCTCACATGACAAGGTATAAAGCAGCAGTCCCCAACCTTTTTGGCATCAGGGCCGGTTTCATGGAAGAGAATTTTTCCACAGGGGATGGGGAGATCTTCAGGCATTAGATTCTCATAAGGAGCACAAAACCTAGATCCCTCACATGCACAGTTCACAATAGGGTTCACACCTATGAGAATCTAATGCCGTCTCTAATCTGACAGAAGAGGAAGCTCAGGTAGTAATGTGATTGATGGGGAGTGGCTATAAATACAAATGAAGCTTCTCTCAGTCACTCACCCGTAGGCTGTTCATATCCTGCTGTGCAGCCCTGTTCCTAATAGACCATGGACTAGTACCTTGTCCATGGCCCGGTAATTGGGGACCCCATTATAAAGAGTTAGTTACTGTCTCATACTCTTCTAGTCCTCAAATTTTTGTTCTAAATGTCAATTTTTCACTAATGTGGAAGCCAGGACAAAACCATGAAGCTTTGAAACAAAATATTCTGTGAAAATTTCTTTGCCACCTAAATGATTTGATGTAAGTTTTACTGTATTAGGTCTCCCTTGCTCCACTTTTTTTTTTCTAATGTGCTGTCTGAAGATAGTGAGATAAAATGGGGGTATATGTTGAAAGGAGTAAAGCAAACATTGAAAACCTATATTCATGAAAAATGTCTTGGGTTGGCAACACTGACTGGGGCCTGGAGAATTTCCATCACGACATGTCAAGTTTTCCTGTGGTTTTTTTCTGTGAAGAGTATCAGGATGGAGAACTTGGACAGTGCCTCGTCCTATGCCCAGATCATTGTACTCCTCCATCTTTTGTTCCTGAAATATACTTGGGTAATAGGAAAGGAGTAGAGTGTGATGTCATGTTTTTAGGAAAAGCAGGTGAACTTAAAGATAACATCCACCCATCACCACAGAGTTTTCAGAATTTACATCTATTAACCTATAGAGTATAAATGGCTTTATCTTCTACAGGTTAAAACTACTTGTATGGGGAAAGATTACGTAGAACAGGTGCATAACCAATGTTTTCAGTATTCTGAGCTGCTCTAAAAGAAAGAAATAACAATAGCCAACATTTATCTAGCATTTACTGTATGCTTGGCAATATCTTAAAAGTTGTACATATATTAATTTATTTCATTCTCACAGGAACTCTCTGAGTTATGCTCAGTGATAATTCCCATCTTATGAGGAAATGGGAACACAGAGAGATTATAGAGTTTGCCCCACATTAAACCACTGGTAGGGGATGGTATCAAGATCCGCACATGGTGTCTGTCCTGAAGTCATTGCTCTATACTGCTTAACTACTAGGGCAATGGAACCATAGAAAGGAGTAAGTAACGTATTCCCATTTTTCCAAGTAAGTGTAGAGAGCAAAATATAAAAAAAACATGAACTTAGAATCTTACTCCTTTATGCAATATCAGAAAAGCTGGTTACAATCATTTTTACCCATTAAAAATATTTGAAAGCTTGTTGTAAAAACTAATTTTCTGAGCTCAAATCTTATTCCAGAAGATCGATGTTTGCATGGTACATTGTACATAATTTAATTTTCCCAGTTGAACATCATGACACTATATGAACCATGAATGCACGAAACAGGAATTCCAAATGTCTTCCACATGGTGAGAGGACTTTCCAGTACTTCTGCAGGAAGCTTGTGAGTAGTCTGAAATTAAGCTATGCCTTCTTGTAGTGATTTTCATTATGTATGCCTAAGGTCTTAGCACTTTTCTCTGAGTGGGATGCTGGGGTGATAGATAGATGAGTCTGCACCTGTATTTAGGCACCTTGGTCATTTCCTGAGAACTGTGAAAGGTATGTGGATGCTCATTAAGTTACTAGCCATTCCCCGAGAGCAACAGGTGGTGAATCAAAGTTTCCCTGGTATGTCATGGCTGGTTTCCTTAAAGTCTTGGAAATAATGGATGGCATTTGCATGCAGATAAGAAGGAGATGAATAGCAGCAGGAAGTATTTCCAAAGCATAAACAAACACACAGGTCTAGAAAGATTATGAGTAATGTTCTTGCTATCACACATTCTATATTCACACATGGTGGTTTCATCTTGTAAATACTGTTACTCATTCAAACTATGGAATCATGGTTTACTGTCCTGTGGTATCTCCCTAATAGAAGAAAGGTAAAGGAATAAAAAAAATTCCAAGTTAATGAAACTATATTATGAAATCATAAACTTTTAACCCTACATCTATAAATATCCACTGACTATGAATGACTGTGATGTGTCTTTCAATTGTCTCCTTTTCAAAATTAGTTATTTATACCAAGTACCTGCCCCTTCATAAGGAAATCATATCTCCCACGCCCTGGATAAGAGTGGGAAGACAATGTTTATTAAACAAAAAATAGAAAATTTACAATTTAATAAAACAATGGAAGTTACCCAACAGTTCTCAGTAATTACATGGAAACATATCTCTAGTGAATGGTGAAAAGGTTTTTGTCAATTGATAGCTCCTTCTCACTATAGTCACTAGTGAGAGAGAGAAAAACAAAAGAAAATATCAGAGCTACATGACCTCAACAGAGAACATCTGGCAATTTCCTATGACCCCAGGAATAAAAGTATTTATTAAAAGTGGCAAATCACTAACATTCCCTCCCAATTTGAAAACACTTAGACAAGTCTATAGATGAGTAGGCAAAAGCAAATAGATCACTAGTAATTTTTTTTTATGGTAGAGGGTGTAAAATGAAAGTAAGATAATGATAAAAAATAGTAGTCATTGAAATTATACATATACGTATATATATTTTTTGACTTGAGAAAGAAACAATTCCATAATTCTCATGTACTTTCTTTCACCAAGAAAGTGTGTCAAACTCAGAAGGGACAACTGGATTTCAAAGTGAGAGGCTCCTGTGAGGTGCTAGCATTGCCCAGTCCTGCTAACCTATGAGTACTTACAGGAAACTCTACCCTAGCCCTTCCAAATGCCCCTCCCTTAAATGCCTCCTCCTTATTTATAATGCTTCCAGGTTATTTTAAAATTAATGTTAAATATCATTTTCCTAAATTTGTTTCATAATGTTATGATCAATTGTAAAAAGCTATCTTTTTTTTCTTAAGTGTGGAAGCTGCTAAGGAACTGCCATAATTAACTCTACAATAGGAAATCATGTTTAATCTATGAAGTTATTTTTGCTAAATATCGTGTGATAAGGAAGTGACTTTGACTCGAATAAACTGTTGTCATAAAGTATACTTTTTCACCAAAGAAGCCAAAGACTAAAAATATATTTTAAAGGCGTATCTGAACTTTCATGATAGTAATCTAAAAACATCAAACAAAAAGCCAAAACCAAAATTTCTGAGTGCCAACCTGGAAGACATAGATTTCGTGTCTATTAATTATATCAAATATGCTCATAAAATATTATATATCATATAACCTCTGGATACTCAATAATTTAATATATCTATCCTAAAATCATATGATTTCACATAATTCATACTCAAAGCAGAACCTTTATAAAACAGTAAACACAAACCTCACACTGGAAGTAGGAATATTTATTTTATTTTATTATTAGAATATTAATTTTAGAGTGGATCCACAATAAAAACTGATTTGAAACTTTGTAAGATGAGAACAATGTAAGGAAAAATGCATTTGTGTATGTCACCCTATTAAGTAGTTCTAGAATATCTTTTTAAAAAGTAAATAAAAAGCTGATTTTAAAGTAGTAACTACAGCTAAGACAGCAGAACTTTAAGCCTTGACAGTTGCCATGTGAAAACTTTAAAATACTTTTTAAAGATCTTTAATATTTTTAAGTAGTTTAAAAGCATTTAAAACAATGTTTTTCAAATTAAGCTTTAAGCAATAATTTCCAAAGATACTTAGAAAGTTTATGGGGACATTATCTGTACTGGGTCAAAATATTTTAGTAAAATGATTCGTACTTTGCAGTGAGAATTATTGAGAGGAAGTGGAAGCACAAACATTTTAGAGGGATTATCATAATGGGTGAATCACAAAACAGCTGCCTAAATGTCAGATTTATGGGATGTTAAGACTAATTCTGTTGAAATTCTACTAGGGTTTTAAGAATAACATTAAAATGTGAAGGTAAAGAGAAATTCTAGACTTTAAAAATTCCTGTGACTTCAAATGAAGTGGAATTTGCATTTATTTAAGGGGCATAGAAAATTAAATAGGGAAGTATATAGTCTAAATAACAATGGCAAACTTGAGTATCTGTGTTTAATTTTTAATTAAAAAATTTTTGGTTGAGATGACTGAAGAGTATTTAAAGAACAGAATTATATTTTTAGTTTTCATTTTTTCCTCTATTTTCCTCTAACTTAAGAGAATCTCATAATTACAGTTCTATGAAGCCAGGACTGTCAGTGTGGTATTTACCTTTATCCCCGGAAGTCCAGGAAGCCCAGGAAGCCCTGGTTCACCCTACACAGGAAAATCACATAACATATAACATATAGAATGATGTTCACTCAGTCACAATATCTGGAGAAAAACATGGCAAATGTTCCTAGCTCAATATTTTCTGCATATATAAATTAAAACACTGTCTACTTTCAAATAGTTTCGTGAGGTTGTGCAGTTCAGTCAACTCTTGACTCAGAAATTGGTTGACCATTTGACAGATTTTTTCAGGATTTTCCCTCTTCCTGCTAGTTCACTGCTCATTGGCATCTCTATCAGAAGGGAAGAAAGAGGAGTAAAAGAAGGAACTCCCCATATTTTATTACCCTTGGGTAACTGATTTGATGAGGAAGCTGAAGCTGTTTGCCAAAATGAGGATTATGAGTGCATTTCAAACAATGCATCCTTTTCCAGTACTCTCTCACCTCTGATAATCAAGAGTTGGCTGTATGAACCGATAGTCACATCAAAACAATATTCATTAAAAGTCTTGCTCACTTAAAAGTATAGCAAGCTTTCCTTTCCATTCCTGAATGATGAGAAGATAAATGATTGGTTAAGATTATACTTAACTCCGGTCTGTATTTCTGACAATTGCTGCATCTGAGCAACCCTGCTTAGCAGCTTAGAGCTAATGGTACCATGCAGCTGTTGCTTAATACAGGTTTGAGATTAAGTGGTGCATTTTGGGTGAGCACATTGGAGTCAAGCTTAACCTTCTCATTTTCACAGTATTGTCTACATTATTTTAAGCACAAAGTATGATGACAAGGAGTTTACTGCTTAAAAAATCTCCTGAATTCTACTAAAGAAGTTTAAAGGAATCTCAGGAGAAAAAGCAAGTCCTTCCTGTGTGGGACTGAAGTGACTATTATTTGAGGAAATAACATTTGAAGGCAAAAGGATCATATCATTTCATGATGGTCAGTCAGTGGGATGGCAACTATACTAGTCTGGATAGAAACATCAAACTAACAATGAAGTGGCAGAAGAAAGCACTTCTTTTAATCTAAATGCTTCCACAGTGCTCATTCCAAGGAAAATCTACCAAGAACAACCAGAAATTCCAATTTTAATATGACTACTTTCAAATTATGAATAGGCATAATTTGCTCTAGGATTTAGCACAAAATGTCTGATACTGTTTGCTAAGCTATGTGATTAGACAAAAAAAGGACAATGACTTTCTTTATGGTGTAGATCAGAGGTACTTCAGGAATGCAAAAGAAAAACTTTTCTGCCTGACACTTTAAAATTAATGTTTGCTTTGTGAACAATAAGGCTATGATGAGAGTAAGTCAGAGAAGAAAGAATGATTATTAAGAATTATTCCATTTAAAGAATACTTGTTCAAGTAGATTAAACTTTACGCAGAAATCACATCATATATTTGATTTTCTTTTTCTTCCCCTTCATCCTTCAATCAATAAATTTAAAAGGACCCAGTAAAAAGGGTATATATGTATATTTTACTGAAAATTCTTTTAGTTTTTAAAAAAGAATAAAGCATTTGGAAACAGTAAATTGCAGTGGAATATACAACAGTAAAAGTAAACCTATTGATGATAAATATATAGGTTTATATTGTTTCAGAAAAATCCACCCAAACTCATTTCAAAGACATCCTATTTGAAACATCTGTGGAAATACAAAGGTTGCAACACTATTTTCCAACAGGCATTCTCAGCACACATTGTCTTCCCACCAAATTAAAAGAATTATATGTCAACTTTAAAGAAAGATCTTTATACACACACACACACACACACACACACACACACACACACACACACAGAGTGTGTGAGAGAGAGCGAGAGAGAAAGAAACACATCCATGTTTTCTAACAGTGAGAAAGATGTATAAGACTTTATGGAATATTTTGATGAAAGGAAATGAATGAATATGATGAAAGGAAAAGCTAAGTGCTTATTGAGTACTTACAGAAACTAAGCACTTAGCTTTTCCTTTCATCATATTCATATGTATGTATATATGTGTTAGGTCATCAATGTATTTTTAAGTGAACAAATATTTTAGAAATTTTTATTTCATAGTCTTAGATTATTATAAATTTGACCTTTCCAAATTTGTTTACTTAATATAGTCATTGACATAATAAAAAATTATAATATATTTAATGCTCCCCTCTGTGGAACATCTCTTATCATTTTTAGAAAGACATTTTTTCCTGTATAAGTTACCTATCTTTGTTCTACAAAAGCTTATTTTCTAAGAGAGTTTTCCAGTTGACTTCTGCATTCTTGCCCATTCCTTGACTTAGGAACTTCTTTGAGTTGAGTACTTGGGCATGCATAGCCAGTAGGTCGGATCTGGGTCATAATTAAGAATTGGTTTGTTATTCAGTTCAAAGAATTAATCTGTCTTAGCAGATTAAACTTTACATAGATAGATCATACTTTTGATTTCTTTTCTTTCCCTTTCACCTTTCTTTCTTCATTACAGGAGACCCCCAAAATCAGGACACTACTTTCCTCTAACGTCCTCACTACAGTGCCTTGGATTTCTAGAGACAGTTCAACTGTGAGGGCCCCTTCTGAAAGAGAATCAAGTAATTTCACTCCTTTAAAATTAACATATGTTTTTTAAAAGGAAGAATAAATTAGTTGATGAGACACAATACCTATTTTATAAATCTACACACACACTACAAGCACATATCAACCCACATATCAATCACATATTCAGGGGTTGAGGCTATAAAATCCAGTGAAATAATTCCTACATTATGAATGTTACACTAGATATCAAACTTTCATGCTGAAAAAGACTACACAGTGAAAAGCTAATCACTGAACTTTCTGCTGTGTTGTGATATTCTGTACTTTTCTGGGAGTGTCTCTGCGGGAACCCACAACATGGCCCTGTAATGGTGAGAAAAATGCCGTGGGAGGTTTCTTGAAGTGATTTTGTACTTAGTTTAGTTCGTCATTTTCCTGATCTACATAAGCAGCTAGCATCGAAATACTTTACTCTTACATTAATGTGGGGCTAAGTATTGCCCTTACATTAATGTGGGGCTAAGTATTGCCAAATCCTGATATTAGACAAAGGAAGTCACAATATTATGGGAAAGTGGGATTGCATCAAAGGGTAGAACCTGGACTAAATATTAATGAAAAAGGTGATGATCATTTCAGTGCACATATTCATTCAAATGGGTTGTAAGCTTTTAAGGAATTCAGCCCTTCTCTCAGTACAATTTAAAACTAATTTTTAATGCAATGCAAAGGAAATCCAATGTTTCCATGTATAAATCCATGAACTTCCAGAATAAATCTAAACTGTATTTTGGAGTGATTATCATGATAAGGCAACGTTTTATTAAATAATTAAAAATCCATTTGGGTATTCCACTCTGAAAACAGTGGAAATGATATGAGATTATAGTAGATTTGTTTCAGTCTGCTTTTTAAAGATTCAAAAGTCTTGCTGATTTTTTTTTAGTAAATCACATATTTAGAGAACAGTTTAAACTTAGTCTTTAAGACTAAGGGACCAAAAATTACATCATTTGAGAAGATTAGTTGCTTTTCAAACCAAAACAGATCATGGATCTCTAACTATAGGACTAATTCCAACTTTCGCAAATAAAAAATCAGTAGGAAATCTTAGAAATTAAATGGTAAAATTTGCATAGTTCTGCTGGAACTAAAACGGAACTAAAAAGTCCCAACTTTACCTAAAATGGAGCCTGATAAGTCGTTACTCTTAGACTCTTAGTTTTTCTCAAGAAGAAAAAAAAAAACACTTCTAAATTAGAGAAGTGTTAAAAGAAAGTAAAAGACTTTCTCAAAAATTATGTCCATCTTAAGTATTAAAACAAAGTAGTGATCCTTTTAATTACTTGAAGAAAGTGGATATGTTATTTTATTATGTCTTAAGGTTCCAAACTACAAAAAGGGATTTACTCTCTCTTCCCCATTCTGCTAATGAGGTATATTCTATTTTTCAATCCATATTTTTGTCTACAACATCAGCCACTGCTAGACAAAGGCAGAAAGTTATGATCTTAAGAGATTAACTCTAATGTGGAATTCACATTTACTTGTTAGCTATAATACATCTGTTATCTAAAATCTGACTATACTGGACATTGGTATCCAGGTGCTCAGACAATAAACTGCTAACATTTGTTTCCTGCTTCAGAATCAAATGAGAGTATAAATCTAAACATATTCATAGCATGTCCTCTAATTAATTGCTGAAGTGAAACATAAATGATACAGAAAGTTAATGTATCCATAGATTGGTTTAAAGTGGTACAATTAGTGTCTCCAATTAAAATTTGGTTTAATCACAAAGTTAGTTTATATAACATAATACTCATGGTACAAGTAAATATTATTCACATAAAATTATCAGTATGAAAGTATATGCAATGAAAAGAAAAGGAATATAATTCATAAAGAAATGTCCATCTTTCTTTATTGAGACATTTTAATGACAGTTAGTTTTATTCTTTACCATAAAAGAATCATGCAGGTTACCTTTAAGCATGCAAGATAAATTGTTAGCATTCCAGCCCAACTGATCTTTGTTAGTTTCAAACAGCTAAGTATATGCAGACTTTATTTCATAAAGTATCCTTTTACATGTACACAGTTTGTTGCACGTTTTGCTACGGTCAGCATCCAGACCTTCTAAAATGCAAAATAGTCAATAGCACTCTGTATGCAAGACATGAACACTGTATCATTTTTACAAAAGTTGTTTTCATATTTTACAGTGGATGGTAGACATAAAATGGTGAATGTGAGACAGTAAGAACACACTAGAGATAGAGATATTACCTTTTGCCCTGGACGACCAGATTCTCCAGGTTCTCCCTGGTCAAAGAAAACAAAAGATGAAAAGAACAGTCTTAAAAAAATTTCCCCAAATCCTGAGACCTCAGGCACTTCACCAGGATGGCCCAGCCTCCTTCTTGATCACATGCATTTTATGCACTTTAGTTTGTTACTCTGCAACTCACTAGAAACAGGAAAAATTTGCTTTGCTGTGAATATGCCTGCAACTCACATAAAAATCCATATTTCCATTAAAAAATCCAAAAGGGAAGAGAGGCAAGACCTCTTATTTAAACCTTTATTGGGTTTCCCATAGGTGTTACCTATTGTGTTCAGAAGCCAAGTATTGAAGGAGAAAAGAGTTATAACCATCAAAGTTGGTGAAAGACAAGAAAAAGTAGAGGCCTATAAAAATTAGAACTGTGATTCCTGGGGTGCAAACATTTGCAAATCTGTAGTTACCTTAATTCCTGCAGCAGATGATCCGGGGTCACCCTAAAATGAAACCCAGGAGAAATTATGCCACAAGTTATGGGAATAGGAAACATCTCAAACACCCAGAGAGCCATTACTGACATGGGTACTCCAAGAGATACCATGACTAATAGGCCTAACTATGCTCCATAAGACTTTGTACCAATATGTCAACTGTTAAGATGTCAGCAACTTCCAGGATAAACAATGTACTTCCTAAAAACATAGGTTTACTTTGAATGCTAAGTATTTAAGGACTACATTCCTTAAAACAAACATAAAAATATAAATATTAATCTCTTACCTTGATAAAGTTCTAAAAATGCATTATGAAGCAATAAATTACAAGCTAGGGATCTGGAACTTTTGGCTTTCTGTATTTCTGGAATTTATTAATGTCATCAGTTATCGTTTACTGGAAGTTCCCTGACCCTTTTTGGTCTTCAGAAAGTCAAAGTTCAATAGATGAAGTCAAAGGGTTAATGATGTTGAGTCAGAAAAAAACCACGCAGCAGATCAGTTTGTCTTCTTCAAGAAGCACTGTCACAGTTACAACCGGCACATTTTTTTTTTTTTTCCAATTTTACACTTATTTCATTGTAACTCAGTCACTGGGAAGTTACAGGATGATGAATGACTTGTGGGTGAGGGGGAGACTTGTGAGCTCTGAGAGAATGTCTTGAGAAAATCTGTTTTTTTTAAAAGACACTGTACTCCACCCAGATGTCACAGATAATGACTACATTTCTAAAGCAAATGTTATAAATAAGTAGATAGGAACTAGTGAAGAAAAAATATGGAGGATAGCTGGGAGTGTTGCTTATTTCCAAAATGAAGCCAGTACAGAGTTTTCAAGTTTCTTCTAGCTCTCTCTATCCCATGAACATGCTAGAAGGAAAAGGAAACACTCATTTGAGACTGTCAGGAAAACAGAAACAGCCACAGGAGGAGGCACATATTGGGATTTCCTCAGTTGTCTCATCTGTACAAATGTTCAAGGGCCTCCAGGGGTCTATTTCCTCTTTCTAGATTCCAGAAGCTGCTCATCAGTCTCTTTTAGAGACAGACCAAAAGACCTCAGGCCTCTGTACATGAGGCACTTGTCCCTCCTTTAATTCCTCTCCCCTAGTCCCATGACTGGCACTTTCTCTCTCTTCAGGGCTCAGCTTACATGGCTTTGCCTCAAAGATGCCTACACCAACCAACCGAGACACATGCCCCCTCAGGCGTACATCTTATTTGTGTAGCATTATGCTCTGTTCATCTCTGCCATAGCTCACTTTACTTATGTTCCTACTTTTTTATTTGTTGTCTGTCCCTCCATTAGATAGCTGCACGTGAGTAGTTTCTGTATCTTTTTATTTAGTGACTGGCTCATAGTATATGCTCAATACACATGGGGTGAATGATGAATAAATCTCAGAAGGAATTCAAAAAATTATTTAAAAACAGGGCAGAAGTCAAGGATTAAAGTGGGAAAAAAAACCTTAGGAAAGAAAAAAAGCTTAGGAAGGAGAAGGAAATAGTACATTAGCTTGTTGAAGAAACAGATACACATGTGTATTTCCTCTGTAATTGCTATTACTTAAGAAAAAGTTGAAACATGACTAAACACAAAGAAAATATTGCCTTAATGTAGAATAATACTGACTTCTCTTTCAAATCCTTAACATTCAATTGAATTTCAAATAGGAAGCTGCATAAATGTAGTTAATAAAATAATGCTTATTTGTATCACTATTAAATTAAGTCCGAAAACCAACAACACCTATGAATCAGGTTTGCCATATTTGCATGATAAGACCTTTTAATTCAGTCAAAGCAATTCTGACTTTGCAAAGTTCCTTCACATATACCTCACAAAACTCCATGAGATATGGTGGATATTACTATTTCCATGTAATAGGTGAGAAAATTGAAGCAACTAGGGTTAAATAAGTTTTGAGCTTCCTAAATTCTACTGGCATATTCTTTTTATTGGAATAAGAAAAGAATTGTTGGCTTATTTCATTTTGTCAGCAGAACATAAAGGTTGGAGTAAACTTGTAACTAAAAGGAAGTTACTTGTATTCACTGCAGTTAAACTTTTTTTCAGTATTTTAATGAAAATTGGTTAAATAATTATTTAATGGGAATAAAGACTGGATTTAGCACCCATAGAAAGTGGATGGAAAGAAATGTTTCTTGAAAGGCCAATTTATTTGTGGAAATCTGAGCAGTTTCATTTGATAAACAACTAAGAGTTAAATCTTTATTCTCTTTTTAAAGATTTAGAACTGTGAAATCTCAAGGAGTTTTTATAACCTTTAAGTGGCAAGGCAACTGCTGAAAGACATTCACAAGCTAAACATTTTAAGGGATGATACAAGTAGTAGAAATAAAACGGTGTGTGTTTATAATCCACCTTTCCCCCAAAGTGAAAATGAATGTTGGATTAAAGTAGCAAAAAAAATCCCAGCAATGTCTTAGGTATATTCTTAGATTCATAAATCAGTTGGTTTAGGAATAAAAATTTCCACAGGATAAGTTATATGTGGGGAATTTCTGTGAGAAGATATTAATACTTATGAAGTTACCTTATCCTTTCATTCCAGCAAAGTTTCTGTTTTGTTTGTGACTATTTAAAAATGCAACACCTAAGCCGGGCTTGGTGGCTCAGCCTGTAATCCCGTGCCTTTGGGAGGCTGAGGTGAGTGGATTGCCTGAGCCCGCGGGTTCGAGACCCACCTGGGCAGCGAGACCTCATCTCTGCAATAAATCAAAAAACCAGCCGGGTATGGTAACACATGCCTGTAATTCTGGCTACTCGGAAGGCTGAGGCGGAAGGATCGCCAGAGCCCAGCAGGTCAAGGCTGCGGTGGCTGGGAGCGGCCACTGCACTTCAGTCTGGGCTATAGAGTGAGACTCCAACTCAAAAAAAAAATTTTAAAAAATGCAACACCTCGTAGATAGTTGTGTGTATGTATTAATAAAGCCCATGTGGATATTACATATGCATATGATGGCTTATTGCTGTCATTTATTAAGTCATTCAATAAATATTTACTAAGCTCCAATGACATGCCAGGTGTGTCCTGGATGCTGGGATGCTGGAAGCTGGGGAGACAGTGGTGAACAATGCACTTATAACCCCTGTCCCTGTCCTGTACTTGTAAAGTTAATTTCCTAATATATGTAGTTCAAAAATATTATTGATTAAAAGACTGAAAGATACTTTCTTTTTTAAAAAAATCTGGCATAGGAAGAGACTGTCATGTTTGGGAAATTCTGTGTCACTGTGCATCCACAGAAGAAATGATAAGCAAATGCATGGTTCAGAAAAAAGTTCTACCATTCAATGAAAATGAAGTCTAAAATACAATTTCCAAAAGGCTGTTCACTCAATAAATATTTATTCTCTTCCAACCACAGGCCAGGAACTTGGGTTGGTACTGGGCATAGAACAGCTTGGCATTATACAGGTTTTTGCTTGTTTTTCATTTTTCGGTGAGTTGGTTTCCCAATTAAACAAGGAATTACAATAAGCCATGATAAAGGTTATGGAAGGGATTATGAAGAGTGCTGTGGGAGCCATCAGCAGATGACCTAATCGGTCCAGAGGAGGCAGAATGACTGCCCCAGGGAGATGACTTATACATTTTGTTTTCAGTGGCATGAAGAATGAATAAGATTAGAAAGTGGAGAAGTGGCTGAGGGCTTGGGAGACCAGGGCAGACAGCAACAGTGCTCTAAATTAAGGGAATAATTAAAGAAGTGCTAATTAGAGAAGGCCCAGTATTGATGGGGGTGGGAGTACCTCTTGAGAGAGGCCATCAGATATGATTTCAAGAAAAGAAGACAATATAGTTCACGGCTCCAAATATAGTGTGACTTCTGAAAAGGCTCAGAGGAGGCAAATGAATGATGCTTTATGTAGATGTAAAGTAAGAAGGCAGCATACCTATGGAAATAACAACTGAGGGAGCAAAGAAAAAGAAGATACACAGGCAATGGCAGGAAAGTGAAGGTGGAGCTTTAACTCAACATACAATTGTGAATAGGAGAGTGGTGTGGTCAAAACATTTGGTGTGTTGACCAAATGCCCACTTTCACCTGATAAGAAATCAGTTTCTACATTTATTGGTGGGATAAACACTCCAAAGAGTAGAACACAACCCTCTGAAAGTGACTCTACGTGTGACTGAACTCAGCCTTTAGCAGGTTGTTCTCAAACCTAGAGCACAAACCATGGTCGCTGGCCAGAGTGCACTGAAGTTGCTGGCCACAGAAAAAAGCCCAGCCTGGTGGTTTTTATAGTTCCACAGCATTTCCAGATGACCAGTCTGGAAAAGCTTAGATTGTTTTACCATCCAAAGGCGCTGAATTGGATCAAAAGGAAAAAAATCCTATTAACGTGAATCAGTGACATAATTTACTACATCAATGGTAGAAAGAAGCCTTTTTTTTTTTTTTTTAACTTTACATCTCAAACTTGGTAAATGATGAATGAGTTTCACATACTGAACACAAAGGCCATGAGAAGAGTGTTTCCAACATGCTGGAAACAAATTATATGACAGAAGCAGGAAATGTTTAAAAAACACATCAAAAATTATATTCCAATTACGGCATTCTTGGGATAAATGCTACAGGTCAGATTACATATTATACACATTACAGATTCCTATTTACAATCCCTGTTTAGATCAATTGAAAGTTTATAGAAATGGTTTCCGTTTTAACTGAAGCATGTCTTATACTTAATTTCAGCTGACTAATAAAACTTTTTGATAAAAAAGAAAAACAAAAAGAAAAACAATCAATCTAGTTGATTTCAATCTCCATGTGGCAAGAAAAACTAATATTTACTGAGAATTTACTATGTGTGAGTCAGTAAGGCAAATGATTCACATTAATATATAAAATAAGAACAGTATTCCTTTGAGACGAACTTGCTCTTTTCAAAGAAAAAAGTTGCTTTACTATTGTAAAATTAAATTTCAAAAAATGTATGATTAAAGAAATACTTACTGGCCTATATTCCAAAAATGAAGTTTTAAGAATACATATCATAAACATAAAATTCTTTACATAAATCCACATAGGCATAGTTTAGACTTGGTATATATATATTTTTTTTTTACTTGAAGATACTGCCTTCCATGTAGAATATTTCCTTTCTTTTAAGCAGAGGTTGGCAACTAAAGTCAAATTCAGCTGACCACCAGCAAAACCTAAGAGCTAAGAATGGTTTTTACATTTTAAAGTAAATTTTAAACATAAAAACAATAATAATATTTCATGACACATGAAAATTACATAAAATTAAAATTTCAGTGTCCAGAAATAAATTTAATTGGAACAAAGTCATACTTACTTATTTGTTTATATATTGTCTATGGTTGCTTTCATGTACAGCCACAGAAACCATATGATCCACGAAACCTAAAATATTTATTTTCTGGCATTTATTGACCTCTGCTTTTAAGTAAAAACAAGAAAGTGAAACTAACATCTAGGCTTATATACTTAGGGTTTTTTGTTTGTTTGTTTGTTTTTTTAGTCAGGTTCTCACTTGGTCACCCATGCTGGAGTGCAGTGACACAATCATGGCTCACACAGCCTCAACCTCCTGGGCCCAGGCAATCCTTCCTGCGTAGTTGGGACTACAGTCATGCACAACTATGCCTGGCTTATTTTATTATTATTATTTTTAGAGACTATGTCTTGCTATGTTGCCTATGCTGGTCTCAAACTCCTGGGCTCAAGCAATCCTCCCGTCTTGGCCTCCCAGAGTGCTGGCATTATAGGTGTGTGCCACCACACCTGGCTAGGGTTTCAAATTTTGACTTGGAGAGTAGAAGGGTATACTGTTGGCCTCATTTGTATTAAACATATTCATGTCACATCTGATTGCAGCATGATACTTAAATTTGGCAGATAATAAAATGGGCCTACAGCAGTGGCACTCAACTGTGGCTGACTTTGTCCTCCAGAGAATATTTAGTGATGTCTGGAGACATGTTCGGTTGTCGCAACTCAGAGGCATTATAAACATCTAGTGGGTAGAGGCCAAGAATAATGCTAAACATCTGCTAGCTCCACAACAAAGAATTATCTAGCCCCAAATCTCAATGGGCTGAGGTTGAAAAACCCTAATCTACCTGAAACCGAGAGTGTCCTCTCATTTCTAGATTACTCCTCAAATACAAACACAACTGCTACTTGGTGACATTAACTTATGCCTACCACCCATGCCATATTTATATTAATATTGATGAGAAGAAGAAAAATAAATTTCTTTTTATTTTGTGAGTATGTTTTTACAACTAACCATTATCCATCTGTGTTATAGTAATTCTCAAAGTGGAATAGTCTTATTCTGAACTGTAAGCTTAAATAAATCTTTTCTTCATTACTCAATTACTTAGCTTGATTTATTTTTAAAAAATCATCTAACTTTATTCTAGTTCTTTAAAAAAATCTAATTCTTCTTCATTTTTAACCGACAACACAAAGTGAAGCGAACTGTCCTTCCTATGTCAGAGGTGTCTGTGAAGTATGAATCTAAGCAAAAGCTATAATGATAGCCTGGAAAATAAAAAGAAAGGGCCCAGAAGATAAGTCAAGAGACTTATAAATATAAATGATAACGAGTTAAAGCCCCCCCCTCCCCAAAGGCTGAATGCAAAGGCTGACAAAATAGCCAGATTTAGTGGATTTCAAGTTGAGGTAAACTTTTAAGGAACATTAGAGGGTCTACTCAAGTGACATTGACTTATAATCAAACTTTAAAATCTTGTCCCAATTCTCTGACATGTTCTCTCCTACAACTGGGACAAACTGAAGCACTTAAGGAATTCTATTTTAATATTCCTGTGTATAGAGGGAGTGTCCCATTTACACACAAATAAACATTTTCATTCCTTGAACCGTGTATTACTGGAAACTTAGCAACATATTTTCTAGGATTTTTTTACATACTATTTTACTGTCAAAATATTTAGAGCTGTGGATAGGAGCTAGTGGAATAATCACCTGTTACAAATCAAATATATAAATGTTTTCTAATCTTAAAGAATGATCTGTGCCCATGTCATATTAAGCAACTCTTTTTCACTTACCTCTCTTAAAGTCTCCCATTTCCATAAACATGAAATAATATTTCTTGCTCACACATATACCCTTTCATTTTGCACAAAACTGTACCTTTTCGCCCGTATCTCCTTTGGAACCATTCTCTCCAGCATCTCCCTGAGAAAGAAAAAAAATAATGCATGTATAATATATTGGTGTCATTAAGCAAAGAGTATTTTTTATTACCTGAAGTTTTCTTTCATAAACACTGTATATTAAAATCTGTTACAAATGCTCTACAGAGTTAATATACTTTTACTTGGTCATTTGTGTGATAAAAAAATTATTATGAAAACGAACGTGGTTGTACAGTTTCAATATTAACAGAAAATAATCATTTATCTTTCTACCTTCTAATAGTTTGGGCCCTAAGGCCTCTTTAACTCTGTCTCTGCTCAAAGCTGCACTCAGGCTGGGCGTGGGGCCTCATACCTGTAATCCCAGCACTTGGAGAGGCCAAGGTGGGAGGATTGCTTAAGCCCAGGAGTTCCAGACCAGCCTGGGTGACATAGCAAGACCCTGTCGCTACAAAAAAAAAAGTTAACCAAGTGTTGAAGTGCACACCTGTGGTCCCAGCTACTGGGGAGACTGAGGCAGAAGTATTGCCTGAGCCCCCCAGGAGGTCAAGGCTGGGGTGAGCCATGATCATGCCACTACACTCCAGCCTGGGTGACAAGAGTGAGACCTCAACTCAAAAAACCAAAACAAAGCAAAAATTCCACTTAAACCAAGGTTTTTTCTCGATAGTCCCCTGAATGTGCCACATGCCTTACCACCTCTGGGTACTTCTTGGCACCATTCCTGTCACCTGGATCCCTCTCTCCCTTCCCATCAATATAAATCCTACCCAGTCTCCACGCATATCTCAAATCTCCAGGGCCTCAAAGTACATGACATGGTTCTCAAAACCTGTGAGCTGAATATGTATTTATCTGGGTCTATGTGGTTGGCATTTGTGAAATAGATGTCATATTTTATTAGAAACTTTTTAAAAGTCAGTTTATGTCTTTTTTGCCGTTATTTTTGAGACTTCCTATTCCCTCGCCGACATCTCCTTTCTACCCACAAAGCAATCTGTTGGGAAAAAGGCATTCACTTATTATCCATGCTTTCTTACTTAAATTCTGAATTATTTGTTTTTCAGAATGTTATAGTGGTATTGTTATGAACTCTGGAGCCAAGGAGATGGAGCCTGATTCCAGCACCTACTAGGCAAATGAAATTCTCTTTGTATCAGGTTTCTCCTGTGTAATGTAAGGGTAAGTATACCTTATGCAGTTCTAAGAAATAATTAAAATGCTTGGGTGAAGCAACTAAGACAGTGTCTGACACATCACAAGTCGTTCATGATAGCCATCAGCAGTAACAATGCTTTATTGTTCATATGTGCCATAGGCTAGAATAAGATTATTTTCTATTATTTAAGAATTTTCTCAAAATAAGACAAAAAAAATTGTGTTTTTAGGGGGAGGGAGAGGAGAGAGAACAAAGGAGGTCGGAGTAGGAGACATTCACTTTTTTTCTCTGTATTTTCTTTCTTTCTTTTTTTTTTTTTTGAGGTGAAGTCTCACTCCATCGCCCAGGCTGGAGTGCAACAGCATATTCACAGCCACTCCAGCATCGACCTGCTGAGCTCCGGGGATCCTTCCACCTCAGCCTTCCAAGTAGCCAAAACTACAGGCGCATATTACCAACGCCGGGGGAATTTCTGATTTATTGTAGAGATGAGGTCTCTCCAAGTTGCCCGGGCTGGTCTCAAACCCGCATGCTCAGGCAATCCACTCTCCTCGACCTTCCAAAATGCTGAGATTACAGGCTGAGTCACTGAGACCGGCCTCTCTATTTTCTTTAATTGTTTCAAGTAAGCATGAAGCTAACCTGCTTGGGCATTTGTCTATTGTGACATCACAGCAGGTCATGGAGCCTGGGACACTTTCTCTGATGAATGCCTGGGGCAGTGCTGCTATTGCTCCGATTCCCTCAATTTCTACACAAAAGAATCATTCAGTGACTAATTAATTTCAAGTTAATTACCACGAACTGAATGGAAGCCAAATAAGTATATTGGTAATTTGTTATGTGCGACCTTTGATAGGCTGTTTATTTGCATGCTTTTTGAAAAATTGCTTGAAAATCCTATTCAAAAAAAAAAAAAAACCAACCACAAACAAACAAAAAAGCCTTCTTATTACAAAAACTGGCTCAGAGCAGTTGTGAAGGGAAGGGTTTGACTGAACTGTCCCCTCATAAAATTGTCTTTTCCACTCATATTTTGCACTCCTTCCATTTAAATAAATGCCTTTTTTTTCGTTTTTGCTTTGCAATACTGAAAAATACAGTTACAATCAAGAATTGTTCTCAATGTCTACAGATAGACTTCTTTTGGGACTAGAAGTTATAATACTGATTTGTCAGAAAGATTATATCATTTATGAAGAGGATGAGGCAGCATCTTGGTAGTTTCCTATTCAGCACACTTCTCTCACACTATGAAATAGTGTGAGAACCAGCAAAATAAGTGCCATAATATATGGTGAGAGTCTAGAAATAATCAGGATAGGCCCAAAAGTTGTAAGAAAAGGAATCTAAGTGAAATTCAACATGCAACATCCTGCTTCTCCTGTTTCTCTTTTTGGTTTTTATGGGAATTCTTTGTGGGCAACCTTCAAATTGTTGCAGGTAAACATCTGTATCCTTTTAACCCAGTGACATAAGAAGCATTAGAGAGAGGTGTGGATGCTTAGAGAAGCATTGGAATGGCATTAGCAAGCAGGTCAAACAGAGATTTTGCAGGCTAAGCATTTTTGTGAGCCATTTAAAAACCTAACATAGATTGCTTAAATTAGCTTCCTTTCTCTTCATTTTTAAAAAAACATTTTACCCACACTTTTGTCCATACATGAGAATTACACTGTTTTCTCCTTCTACTAATTAACAGTTTGAAAAAGTGGTTATTATGTCTATATCTATTTATCTATCTATCATATCTATCAATTCATCCATCCATCCATCCATTCATCCAATTCAGTATGGGCATCTCTTTGGGGGGAAAAAGATAAATAGAAGCAGAACCATTCTCACCTTTTCTCCTTGTTCTCCAGGTTCTCCCTGAGTAAAAGAACAGAGATTGGGTGACATTAAATCATAAAACACCTAATTCTATTATTAAACAAAACAGATATTGAATTTTCTAGGTAAACTATGTGTAACACTTTTTATTTTGGCTATATAGTTGCTATATGAAAAAAATGGTAAAATGAATTTCCTGCAAAATTGAGTATGGATATCAACATCAAATGTCGTCTTAATTTTTTGCTTTTGTAGGACTAAAGAAGTGTATTTTAAGATTATCATCCAGACACTGGCTTTTGGGGCGCTAGGGAGAATGATGGTGTGGCAATTCAGTATCTTGAGAGGCTTCTTAGTCTACCTGTTTTTATTCTGCCCAAACTCAGAATCAATAGGATGGACTAGCGTGTCCTTCCACAACGCCTTTTATTCAAAGCCTGAGGCATGAGCTTCTTGGGGTTCTGTGTCCCAGTACAGTTCCCCAATCTGTCTTTGCCTAAAATGATCATAACTAGTTATAATCTTGAACCTCTTCATAATGTCATGAGCTCTCTTTAACTGCTGGTAACTGGTATGTTCCAGGTCAGGTTTGTTTTAGGAGACACTGATACCTTCAGGAAAGCCACTAGAATAGGGCAGAGTTTAAGGATGTTTAGGAGAGATGTCCTTACTCAAAATGATGAACAAGATAGTATGAGGACTAAAATGCAGAACTGCACTCTGAAGAGAACCTCATATCCACATTGCTCAGGAAAGGAGCAGGGGCTGGAGTGGAAGAATTCTAAAGCAAGTCATAAACATTATGGTAGTAGCTCCCTATGAAAAGCTTAAGAGTTGCCACGAGATCAGACTGCTTTTAAAAAATGAAATAAGGTGATTATTGTGTTGTTGTTGTTTTAATTAAAATCTACTGCAGAAGTCAGTTTAGAGACAAGAGTCTTTATTCCAAAACCTACTGCAGAAGTCAGTTTAGAGGCAAGAACTCACTCTGACCCTTTGGTCTCCTGAATTTCTGGTCACCTTCACTGCTCAACACTCATCCTGGTGGTCGCTAGGCAACACAAGAATAGCACTGTGAACATGCATTAAGCATTAACTCCTATCATTTGGCTTTTTAGTGTGAAGCAAGAGAAGAAAGAAGACAGCAAAATGACTATAGTCCCTGAAGGAATATTTTCTTTTCTCTCCTGAAAGACAAAGGACAGGTCTATAAATTTTAGATCTGTCCTAGGTGCCTGTCAATCGCAATGTGATCTGTAAAATCAGCTGACAGGCATCTGCGGGTACAGATACATACCAGCACAGCTGATGGGATTAGACATCAGTTTTGTACTTCAAGGGATATCCACTCATCAAAGGATTTGGGATTTGTCTGCCTGTATGGTTTAAACTAAATTGCACCAAATCTTTTTTTATTTAACAGATTCGTTTTTTTCTTCAAGAAACAAAGAAAATTTGAAATCCCCCCCAAAAATCCTCATTACATTTTTTTCCGTATGTAGTAATTCAGACTACATTCATTTTAAAATTTTAAACATTTTTATTCTGTTTTTCATCTGATTAACTGGTTATGTTGTGCAAGGGTTGGAGGTGGTCAAATCTTAAGGAAAAGCCTCAGTGGCACTGTGAACATCATCTTTAGTAAAGTTTGCAAATATGCAGATTTTAGGCAGTGTGGACATGACCTATGTTTTTATATGCTCAGTAAGTGGTAAAAAGACAATAGTATGGGCTTTTCAATATTACTTTAAGTATTTCACAATGTGGATTTTAGGTGATCGTATCCTATTTGGTTTTTTTCTACATGCTAATGATAATAAAAATCACAAATATAATTTACTCATTAGTCACAAAGTTCTGCAGTGTAGTATATTATACTATTGACCAAAAAGTTCATTCAAGTGCAACCAGTGGAAGATTTTAAAAAATTGTAATGACTTACCATTTCATGAAAATTCATGTGTTAAATGATTCTGCTTGCCTTTATTTGCACTAACCTTTGGTCCTGGTGTTCCATTCTGTCCTACTACTCCAGGCAACCCGGGTTCACCCTCAAAATAAAAAATAGATAGTACTAAGTAAAATAGACAAAATTAATACATTATACAGATCATTAGAGGAGATAAACATCCAACAATGCTCTAGAAGTAAATAGAGAATAAGCGATTATTAGTGTAACTTCAAGTAAGCTTGTAAGGTCCAAAATTTCATATGCAAGAGAGCAAGAATACAACAGAGTTAATTTCTTATCATTAAGAAAGCTGAAGAAACTTACCAATGGAAATTATTGCGTGGTTGCTGGGGACATTATAAGCATCAAATAAATATTTGTTGAGGATGTAAAAACAAAAACCACAAGATTATATCATTAGAGGCAGAAAAAGTTTTTGATATAATTCAGCACCCCTTCTTGATAAAAACCCTCAAACATCTAGGCATAGATAGAGTATACCTGAAAATAGTAAGAGCCATCTATAAGAAACCCACAGCCAGTGTACTGCTAAACAGACAGAAATTGGAACCATTTCCCCTGAAAACTGGAACAAGACAAAGATGCCCACTCTCTTTCCTCCTGTTCAATATAGTTTTGGAAGTCCTAGATAGAGTTATCAGACAAGAGAAGGAGATTGGGGTACCCAAATAGGAAAAGAGGAAGTCAAGTTATCCCTCTTTGCAGACGACATGATTCTATACCTCAAAAATCCAAGAGAATCTGTGGGATACCTCCTTGCACTGAAAAAGGACTTTGGAAAAGTCTCAGGATATAAAATAAATTTGCAAAAGATGGTTGCATTTCTATACACCAACAATAAACAAACAGAAACCCACATAAAAAGCACAATCCCGCTCACAATAGCCACACACAAAAAAAATGAAATACCTTGGCATCTTCCTAATCAGAGTTGCGAAAGACCTTTACAATGAAAACTATTAAACACTGCTCAAAGAAATCAGGGATGACACAAGCAAATGGAAAAATATTCCATGCTCATGGATTGGAAGAATCAACATTGTTAAGATGTCCATCCTACCTAAGGCAATCTACAGATTTAACACAATACCCATTAAATTACCAGCAGCATTCTTCCCACACCTGGAAACAGCAATACAGAAATTCATATGGAAACATAAACTAACATAAATAGCCAAAACAATTCTCAGCAATAAAAACAAAGCGGGAGGAAACACACTTTATTTAAACTTTATTATAAAGCTACAATAATCAAAACAGCCTGGCATTGGTACAAGAACAGGCATACAGACCAAAGGAACAGGATAGAGATTCCAGAAGCAAAACCTCAATTTCTCAACCAACTCATCTTTGACAAAGCCTCCACCACCAACAACTGGGGAGAGGAAAATCTAGTTCGTAAATGGTGCTGGGAAAACTGACCACATGCAGAAGATTAAAACAAGAGCTCTACCTCCCCATACACAAAAATAAACTCTAAATGGATCGAAGACCTAAATGCAAAACTTTAAACTATAAGAACATTAGAAAACACAGGAGACACCCTTATGGAAATTGGAACTGGCAACCAATTCCTGATCAAAATTCCAAGTGCCCATGCCATAAGAGATAAGATAGACAAGTGGGACCTCATCAAACCGACCAGCTTCTGCAAAGTCAAAGAAACCATCAAGAGAGTGGGGAGACAGCCTACAGACTGGGAAAAAATATTTGCCAGTTGTGTGTCTGACAAAGGCCTAACATCTAGGATCTACAAGGAACTCAAACAGGCCAAAAAGAAAAAAACAAACAGACCTATTTTGGAAGGCTGAGGCGGAAGGATCGCCGGAGCCCAGCAGGGTGAGCCTGCGGTGGCCGGGAGCGGCCACTGCACTCCAGTCTGGGCGACAGAGTGAGACTCCAACTCAAAAAAAAAAAAGTGGGCAAAAGATATGAACAGACACTTCTCAAAAGAAGACATACAAGCAGCCAACAGATACATGAAAAAATGCTCAACCTCACTAGTCATCAAAGAAATGCAAATTAAGACTACACTGAGATACCATCTAACTCCAGTCAGGATGGCCATCATCAATAACTCCAAAAACAACGGATGCTGGTGAGGATGCAGTGAAAAGGGAACATTCACACTGCTGGTGGGAGTGTAAACTAGTACAGCCTCTGTTGAAAACAGTGTGACGATTCCTAAAAGATCTAAAAGTAGACCTTCCATATAACCCCACAATCCCCCTACTGGGATATACCAGGAAGAACTCAAATCACTCTATGAAAAAGATACTTGCACACATATGTTTATCGCAGCATTATTAAAAATAGCAAGATCATGGAACCAACCATGCTGCCCATCAAAAGAGGACTGGATTTTAAAAATGTGGCACATATACATGATGGAATATTACACAGCCATGAAGAAAGACAAAATCATGAACTTCACAGCAACCTGGATGGACCTAGAGTCTATAATACTGAGTGATGTATCACAGAAACAAAAACCTGAGTATCACATGTTCTCATTCATACGCGAACCTTGAACAATTATTATAATACTATGAAAAGGATTGGCATTGGTGGGAAACTGTTGGGGGGTGGGGTGGGATTGGCAGTAGTGGGAATCTTCCAGGGGAGAGGAGGGGCACACTTTACCAACAAGGGTACCTGCATAATGAACATTTGTATACCTAACCCTGAATTGTACCCCACATCTTTAAAATAAAAAAAGTAAAATAAATAAATAGACAAATAATTTTAAAAATTGTTGAATGAGCAAAAGACATCTGAAAATATTAGATTCTCTTGGTGGAAAACTTTTAAGTGATTGACTAGGTCTGGAAAAAAATAATGCATTCTATTTTTCACATTGGACTTAGATGCACATTTACATATTTAAGTCTTGGAAAACAAACACATCTTTGAACAACCACCTACTTAATTCATTTAGTCACATTTGGCACAAAGGTGAAAAATGGCTTTGGTTTCTCTTTCCAATTTCAGTGTAAAAATGATTAGAATAAAACATTCAGACTTAAGGCTCTCATTCTCATATTAGATAGGGCTTTTGGGCAAAAGATGATGGATAAAACAATTTTCCCATTTCAGAAAGATGGTGATGTATACCAGTTTTTCTAGACTCTGAAGCAGCAATTGTTTTCCAGAGTAAGAGCCCCTTTAAGTGTCCAGAAGCAAAGGAAAGATATTCTAGCCCTTTATGCTTCCATGTGGCTCAAACTTATAGCATTTAGGATTCTGTTTCTACGTGAAAACATTGTAAATTTCTTTACTGTGTGCCCCAACTAGCAGACAACTTTCTTCTCTTCATGGAGGACAGTTAAGTTGCTTCTTAGTTGGTTTTTTAAAAAAAGTAGACTCTATTGTTATAGTAGCCTTAAGTTCACTGCAAACAATAGATTTTTCAGAATGTTTTCTAAGTCACTTGATGGGCAGAAATTGTGCCATTTTCATATTTGTGTTCTCAGCTTCAAAACCATATATACCACTAATAATATAATATATCTTAAGTACCAGAGTTTTTACATTCATTAACTCACCTAAGTCTCACAAACTTCTATGAGGTAAGTACTATTTTAAGCCCTTGTTTTATAGGAGAAGAAACTAAGGCACAGAGAATTGAAGTAATTTGTCCAGATCTTGATTGGGCTTAAAATGTGCTCTCTTAATACCATGTTACATTGACAAATGAATGAATAGTAGAAATTAAGAGAGAATTGCTGATTAATATTTCTTTTCTCATTATTATCTTATTTATTCACCCCACTCATAAATGACCTCCCAGAACATATAGACTATAACAATAAATATAAACTACATATAGATGATTTTTTAAATAACTACCAGATAAACTAAGCAATGTGAAACTTATGGTGTCTTTCTAGACGTTCAAAAAGTCTTTGACTACTATAGTAGATTTTTATAATTGCTAACGTCTTAAATCTCCTGGAAAAAAAACTGCTTCCTGCATAAATTCACACAATAATTGTAACTCTTGCACTGTCCTTGGTAAAATGACAAAAATGTTGACTTAGAATAATGATGGTCATTATGGAAAAATTTTGATATGCCATTAATATACAACAAAGGATAAGAACTTGGAAATAGAATACACCCTGAAAGACGACTATCATTTACTACACAACCAGAAAAAGAACTGTAGAGTCTGCTTTCTTCAAATAATCCACTACAGGATGCACTAATATCATAACTCATGATTTAATGCAAATAAGAGATGTTGCCAGGGAACAATACCAACTCTGTTTAGACTTTCAAAGAATAACCATGGTAGCCAGAGTTATTTTTTAAAAATGGTTAAGCCTCTGGAACCAGACAAAACTCATGCTGAGATTTTGAAGCAAGGAAGAGAAATGTTACTTGGGAATCTGTATAACATTTTCCTTAATATATATGAACATCAAGGGACTACAGTTTGATCTTTTTTTCCTTTGATTTCATATACTTTTTTTTTTTTTTTTTTTTGAGTTGAAGTCTCACTCTGTCGCCCAGGCTGGAGTGCAGTGGCACAATCATGGTTCACCACAGCCTTGACCCACGGGGCTCAGGGAACTCTTCCACCTCAGCCTCCCAAGTAGCTGAGATTACAGGCGTGTGCCAGTATGCCCAGCTAATTTTCTGATTCTTTTGTAGAGACGAAGTCACACTGAGGTCACAACTAGTTTCTGGACCAGTCTCAAATTCCCAGACCCTAGCCTTGGTCTCCCAAACTGCTGGTATTATGGGCATGAGCCAGGCACCGCACTCTGCCTGATTTTATATATTGTTAAAAATAATCTTTAACATAAAAGGCAACCAAAAACCAAAGGTATCCATAATCCCTTCACTCTATAATAATTGTTTGCTTCCATTTTGTCCCATCTCCTTCTAGTCTTTCTTCCTTATGCTTATGTATTATCAAGCAATTGTAAGCATATTGCATATGCTTACGGCATTTTGTGGCATTAACTGCATATTTCTAAATTGTTTTCTAAAAGGGTTGGAATATTATTTGCATTTATAGACATCTGCTCTATGTTACTTTTTCACAACTTCATCAGCATTGGATATAATAAT